AGGAGGAGGAGGAGGAGGAGGAGGACGAGGAGGAGGAGGAGGACGAGGAGGAGGAGGTGGAGGAGGAGGAGGAGGAGGAGGAGGACGATGGAGGGGGAGGAGGACGAGGGAGGAGGAGGAGGAGGAGGAGGAGGAGGAGGAGGAGGAGGAGGAGGAGGAGGAGGAGGAGGGGGAGGACCCCCTCCCCCTTCAACTTCTGGTGGTGGAAAACAAGCCCATCAGCAAGAGCCCCCGGGGAGCAGCGCGGAGAGAGCACGGCGGCTCCGCGACGGGGGGCCGCCGCTGCCTCGGCGCCGAGGAGGACCCCCCCCCCCTCCGGAGGATGCCGCGCTCGGCAGGGGCCAGAGGCACAGTGCCCCGCGCTTGTCGCCGGTGATGCAGAGGCCGCCGTCCACCTGAGGAGCGAGGAGCGAGGAGGAGGAGCGAGGAGCGAGGAGCGAGGAGGAGGATGAGGAGGAGGAAGAAGAGGAGGAGGAGGAGGAGGAGGAGGAGGAGGAGGAGGGGAGGCAGAGGGCAGGAGGAGGAGGAGGAGGAGGAGGGCAGGCTCGGTGACCCGCGAGGCCGCCGTCCACCTGAGGAGCGACGATACTCCAAATCCCTCATGAATCGACCCCCCCTAAAAATCCAGACCCCCCTCCAAATGCGACCTGATATTCCGGCCCCCCCCTCTTCGACGGGGCGCCTTGATAACGGACCCCCTAAGCTCCAATCCAAAGAAAGCGCCCTAATAAACCCGACCCCCCCCCGTTACAAAAAAAAGGCGCCTTCAAAAACCAGACCCAGGGGACGATTGATAAGGGATATGGAGTACGGCGGAGGCAAGTCCACAAGAAACCTTCCAAAAGAAGCCCAACCCTGAGGCACCAGGACGCCCATGGAAATCGTTGGTGCGTGGGAGCGTCACGGTTTCTATCGCAGAGCCATCGGAGCCCACGAAACCCAGGGCACCCTGGAGGCAAGCAGGGTGCTTCTTGGCATGGGCCCCCACTGCAAGCAGGGTCAGTCCCAAGACATCCAGCGTCTCAAAACAAATCGAAACAGCGGTCGTTCTCTCGGGGCACCTCACTGGGCCTCGGGACCGTCCAAGAAACGGCTCGGGATGAGGCACCGGCACCGGGCCCAGGTCTCGGAAAACAGTGGAGACGCCGGACGCCTGGGTCAGCATCGACTCGGGAGCTCGGATCGCCTCGGAACGTGCGTCGGATCGGCTCCCATCGGCACGAGATCGGAGTCGAATCGAATCGGCCGCGCCAGGGCGCACCACAGCAACGTGCAAGCATCGCGCTGCGTCGGATCGCAAAGGGCTCCCAGCTTCGCGCTTCGCGCTGCGCGGAGCGCGAAGCGCGAACAACTTCGCGCTCTCGCGCCGCCTTCCAGGGGAGAAGGAGGAGGAGGAGGAGGAAGCGGAGCCGAAGCGCGGAGCGCGAAGCGCGAATAACTTCGCGCCCTCGAGGGCGCCCTTGGATCGCTGGAGCACCGCGGGACCGGATCGGACAGGGCAGGCCGCGAAGAGAGAGGTCGGGCCGGATCGATCGGAGCGGCACGGGCACCGCGAAGAGGGGGGGGCACGAGATCGGAGTCGAATCGAATCGGCCGCGCCAGGGTGCACCACAGCGCCGCGCAGGCATCGGGCCGCCCTTGGATCGCTGGAGCACCTCGGGACCGGATCGGACAGGGCAGGCCGCAAAAGAGATATGTCGGGCCGGATCGCTCGGGGCGGCACGGGGGCACTGCGAAGAGGGGTGAGGGGGGCCAGCCGGCTCAGGGGGAAGCCTCGAGGTGGGATCGGCCAGGCTGGAGTCGGGCCGGTCCCTCTACAGGAGGAAAACTCAAAAATAGTCAAAAACAGTCTGGGGACTTTTCCTTTACTATTTTTTAGCATTTCGGGGGTATGTTTTAGTATTTTTCATTTTTCGTCCAAAATCCCCCTCCAGGGGGACAGGCCCGATTTAAGGCCAGGCGTCGCCAATGGATCGGCGATGAGCACCCGATGGCGCATACGCACGGTCCTGGGCCACTGGGGCGCGAGGAGTCCCCCCCTGAGTTCTCGCCGGTGGCTCGGCACGGGGGCCCCCCGCAGCATCGTGCTGGTTCTGGCGAAGCGGCGCTCACCGAGGCGAGTCGACGCGCATCGACGCTGGGATCGACGCCCGTCGACAATGAAGCGGCGCTATCTCATCGGCTACCATACGCTAGCCAGCGCTGGTGCAATCGAAAGACGGAAGTTCGATGGTATACCAGGCCCCCATGATCTGCGACCGAAGAGTCTCCCCTCTATCTTTTGACTTGGGCTGGGGAATCAGGTCTGCAGAACGCCCCGAACGGACGCCGAGGGGCGCAACCAAGCTGTTCGGTCAAGCTGAAGCTGATGCACCGCATCCGGCGTCAATCCAAAAATTTGGACATAAGCGAATGGTTGGATGTTGCACGCCTTCGTCGGTTTAACCAGCGAAGCGTTTGACCACACTGACGTCCCTTCCTTGGTGGTCCTGAAGAGGAA